ACTAGGTTGCTTACTATGATATATCTTAAAGCTTGGCAGTTTGAGATTTTATCTCTAAATCTGCTAGGATAGCTCAGTGAAGCCCAGGGTACTTGCTTGGTCCTTAACCTATAAAATTGGCCTGCCAATTCCAGGTACTTCTGTTGTACCCCATCCACTGGACCCCCAAAGAGACCACCGAGAACCCAACACACCAAAATGCAAAAGCAAAGGTTTATGGTTTATTCGGGCTTAAGCTCGGGCTCTCAGACCTCACCAACTCAACGGATCCATGCTGAGAGCCCAGAGTAAGGGAGACTGGAGCCTTTTATAGGTTTTAGACAAAGGGGGGGGGGATACTGAAGATACATTTTGGTTGGTTCAAGAAGCCCGCGAACGCCAACATAATTTTAAACAGATTGGATGTATAAGATGCAGCCCTGGAAGTTTCTTATTGGTGGGTGCTATTCTCAGGGCTGTGGAATGTGCTGACTGTTACCTGTGGGGCCAGGAGTCTCTGTTTTTACCTTATAGGGCAGTTTTTATGCTCGGGCTTGGTTAATCTATAGTTTCCTGGAAGGGGGAGGGGAATAGCAGGTGGGAGTCAGGGCATATTTAGTCATGTCTAAAGCAGCAGCCAAGCATTTTACAGAAGCTAAAAGAGCAATTAGTGGAGGTCTGGAGGGGTTGGGGGGTAGCGGGTGAATGAAGAGGGTCTCAGGGTTCTACACTTCCAAGCACACTGAGGAGCACATTCTCCATGATTCCCAAGGTCCCATTGTCCACACTAGATTCCCCATTAAAATATGAAAAAGCAAATTTTCCAGCAGCATCTTTCCGTCCACTTCAGTTAGGATCAGGCCTGCATACAAAGTGATTGGGGTTTGTACTTCTCTAGTTGTGGTCTCACATGCTGTACCAGGTGCCTAGTGCTCTTTCTTCTGGATGCCAGGGCACAAGCCATAACATCAGAAACTCCCCCAAGGGTGCCTGTGAATCTTCACACTGACCACAAGTGTGGAGCCAATTCAAAAGAAAGAACTTATGCCTAATTAGACTACAGCACTAAAGTTTCCTTCCATTCATAGCTACTTCTAAGAAAGCCACGCTGCAGGACTTCTTCCCCAGCATCCCTGCCAGCACCTCCACTGCCTTCAGAGATCCAGCTATCTCTGTATAACTGAGTGTCATCTCTCATCTGACAAGACCTCAGACGAGGGTCATTCTAACCCGTTTTCCCCTCCTCCTCCTCCTCCTCCTCCTCCTCCTCCCCCCACCTCCTCTTCCTCCCTTTCCTCCTCTTCTCTTTTCCTGCTGCTGCCCTTCCACACTACCCTTGTCATCACTGACCATTTAGAAGGACTCCATTCCCTGGGCCAGTAACACCAGTGTAAGGGTGGGTGACAGATTTATGGGAGGGTTTCCCAGTAGCCCCATCTGGCCTGGAACTCACAGAGATCCACCTGCCTCTGCCTCCTGAGTGCTGGGATTAAAGGCGTGTACCACCACTCCTGGCCTAACCTGTGTTTCTGATCAAGTGATGCATAGGTCCTAGATGTCCTACAGGAGAACGGGAACCTGGAGATCATGGACAACTTTCTCCTTAATCCATTTCAGTATTCTGTTGTCTTCTATTAATGTGAAGTTTCTAAATATTGACTGTACAATGACATAATATTTGCTGTATAGAAAATTTAAAATACATAGTGTCTTTAAAATATTGTTAAAATAAATTTCCTGATGCTGGAGAGATGACTCCGGGGTTTAGAGTACTGGCTGCTCTTGCAGAGGACCTGGGTTTGATTCCTAGCACCTACATAGCAGCTAACAGCCCTCCTAACTTCAGTTGCAGGCGATCTGACGCACTCTTCTGACACGGCATTGCATGACATGAGTGCATTTACATACATGCAGGCAATACGCTCATACACATAAAATAAAAACAATAAAATTTAAAATATAAAAATAAATTTCCTTTACATGAACCTGCAGAGGGAACATGGCTTGATATAGGTACTCATTATTTTCAGGTTCATTTAGTTAATTTCTTATTGCACAGTGCTAGGGATTAAACCCAAGGCCTTGTGCACGCAAGACAAACACTTTACCTTTAAGCTGTACATCCACACTAAAAACATTTTTTAAACTTAAAGTTAAGAGAAAGGAGAGCCAAGAATGTGAGAGCTGAGCCATGAGATTCCAGGTAGGAGCTGTCACTTACATCATGGTTATAAGTCCGCATCCTACTGTTCTCTCCAGACATGCTAAACCCTATGAATAAAACATGGAGTGGACATCCAGAACTTGAAAACTTTATTATTTGAAGTTCCTCCAGTGCCTAAATCTATTTTTTTCAACCTTTACATCAGGAAGAAATTTAGAGTTAATATTTATGAAGAGAATGTATGCATTGAGTAGTTTCTACTTCAAATGCACAGTTGATATAAAATAGAGTGTAATTATTACTTTTTAATTATTTAGTTTTACATAAAAGAAGCTCCTAGCATCCACAGAGTGGTCATGTGCGGGATGCTGCGTTCTTGCTCAGCCTCATTTCCTCTGACTCTGCATTTCTTTACCTTATACTGTCAATAAAGCCTACACTTTTTTAGGAGGGGTGATTAAATTGACAACCAGTGATCAGTATTGAAGCTAGTACGGAATGAATGCAGGTCCACTGGTGGGTGGGACATACATTTCTGACACCTTAAATGTATATAGATTGGGACTGAAAATAGTAACAGAATTTTATGATTTACCAGGGTGGAGAAAAGATTTCATAAACAATTCAGTCACAACTCAGAAATCAAAGCTGGACATGATGCTGGATATAATTTCAGTACTTGGGTGCTGAGGCAGGAGAATCTTACAGGCAGGGCTAGCCTGAACTATTGTGGTAAATTCCAGGACAACATGGCTTATATAGAAAAACCCTGTCTAATAAAAAAGAAGGAAGGAGGGAAGGGAGTGAGGGAGGGAGGGAGGGAGGGAGGGAGGGAGGAAGGAAGGAAGGGAATCAGTAAAAACACTGAGTCTACATCATTTCATTCTGAGCTGGTGATGTCATTCATTCGAGTATTTGATTTGATTTGACATTCTGCCTCAGTCATTGCCACTTTGTTGTCCATTAACATAATTATTTTCCAAAAGACATTTCTAACTCTAATTAAACTTAGATAAATATGAAATTTGAGATCTGATCTATAGGAGGGTGAAAATAAGCTCTGAGGTCCAGGGAGATAGTTATTGATGACTTGGGAGAACCTTGTTACAAAAAGGGCTGGAGGAGATGAACATCCACGGACAGGCCATTAACGGTCCAAAGAGGTTTGAAGACCAGAAGGAGATTTTGTAAAACGTAAGAAAGTTCATAGGAAAACTCAGTGATTCTTGATTGTTGAGGCTAATATGAACGTGCAGCTGTGTAAGGAGATAATCATTCAGGCTTCAGGGAATCACTGTGAAGCTGAGATTGACTCAAAAAACAAGGAAGGAGCCAGGCATGGTCCTGCACACCTTTAATTCCAGCGTTCAAGAGGCAGAGGCAGGTGGATCTCTCTGAGATCAAGGCCAGCCTGGACTACATAGTGAGTTCCAGGCCAGCTGGGGCTACAGGGACGAGCCTATCTCAAAAAAAGAGGAGGGAAGCGGGAAAAAATGGGACTTATAAACTTTATTAGGGCATAGAAATTTAAGACAAGTATATTGAAATTTAAGTTGAAACATTAAGGGTACTGGGAAAATGACTCAGTGGAGAAAGCACTTGCCATGCAAGCATGAGGCCCTGAGTTCAAATCCCTGGAACCCACATAAAGCTGGACAGAGTAGTGCACATCTATAATGCCAGCTCTCCTACAGTGAGATGGGAGGCTGAGACAGAATCCCCAGGAACTCATAGGCCAGCCAGCCTAGTGTACACAGCATTGAACGAGAGACCCTATCTCAAACAAGTAGAAGGTGCAGGCAACACCTGAGATTGTCCTCTGAGTACCACACACAAAGTATGGCACACACAGGTGCACATAGTCACACAGAGAGAAAAAGAAGGGGCTGGAGAGATGGTTCAGCTGTTAAGAGCGTGTATTGGTATTGCTCTGAGTTCTGTTCCCACCACGTATAGCTCCAGCTCCAGGGGATCCAAGGCCTCAGGCCTCCATGGGCATCTGTGCTCATGAATACACACACACACACACACACACACACACACTCTCTCTCTCTCTCTCTCTCTCTCTCTCTCTAAAAATAATAAACTCTTTAAAAAAGAAAAAGAGGAGCTGGAAAGATGGCTCAGTGGTTAAGAGCACTGGTCACTTTTGCAGAGGACCTGGGTTAGGTTCTTAGCACTCACCTGGTGGCTAATAACTGTAACTCCAGTTCCAAGGGATCTTATGCCATCTTCTGGCCTCTGTAGGCATTGCATGCATGTGGCACATTTACATACATGAAGCAAGCACTCATACACATAAAATAAAAATATATAAATAAAAAGAGGTTGTGTTTTAAGATTTCTCATGTGCCAAAACTTGTATAAAAATGAATTATAATGGATGTGAGACTTGTTTTGATTTGAAGGAAATTTAGAAAATTTTTTATTTGCATAAATATACTAATATGATCAGAGAATGAGATGTAGTTGTTTATTCTAGGTATTCTAAATGGATGAAATTTAAAAAATCACATCATGTAGGTGAAATATCGTGGTCCATATTACTATAGCACAAAATAACTTTACTATCCAGAAATCTATTAAGAAAATGTAATTTAAGATGATTACACAGCTAGAATTTTTCCCTTAATCTTGATTTTCCAATAAAATCATACGTTAAAATACTTATTAACCTATTTTAGGTTAAATTTACAAAATTAGAGGTAACTTCACTTGCTCTGTCTGATTGCTGCCAGATCTTTGGTGCATGTGAGCAGTCTATGGAACTGGAATTCATTCGTTGTGTTATTTAATTAACAGCACTGTTTCCTTGCTGGCTCAGAGGAAGTCTGACTCCTGTTCTCTGGTTTTGCAGCTCGGCTCATCCTCCTCTGTGCCTTTTACGTCTATTTTTTCCCAGCTCTTTATGACAGTTGTGGTTCCTCTCATTATTGGACAGGTAGGTCACCCCTTAGAGCCATTTTTTCTATATATTTTATACTGTGAATTCTTTTTTAGGATTTATTTTAATTATGTGTATGTATGTGTATCTCTACGTGTTGGTGTGTGCAATGAATGCAGAGCCCATGGAGGGTGTTGGATCCCTTGGGGCTGGAGTACAAGTAGTTGTGAGCGGCTCGATGTGGATGCTAGGACCAGTCTACACTCTTAACTGCTGAGCCATCTCTCCAGCCCCACAAATTGTGAATTCTTACATAAGTTCAGGGCAATTAAAAAAAGATATTCACAGGGAAAGACAACTAAGTGGAATGATAAGAAAAATGTAAGATTTCACCTGTCTCACTATTCTCAAAATTTCCTTTTTTCCAATATGTATATTTTTATTGAATTTTTGTATATTTCATATACTACATCTTAATCATATTTAGACCCCCTTCTCTATCTGCACCCCTATAGCCCCCCCACCAGATTTCATGTATTCTGTAATATATGACTTTGCTGGCCTGTACTCAGCTCTAGTTTACCCATGGTACTTTACCAACAGAAATAAGCATCTGCTTGTGAACTTCCTGGAAGTAGAGACGATATCTTCTTAATTTTTCTACCTCCTTGCTTATAGAAGGAAGTCAATATATATTTATTGGCTGGATCTGTCAGTTCACCTGAGTGGTAATCGCCATAGGTGACTATTAGCAGGTATATTCAATAGTGTACTCAGTAGGAAGGATTAAGCTATACAAAAAGATTGACAGAGGAAAACTTTGAACTTGCCCACAGGGGGGGCCCAGCAGACATTTTTCCTACATTGCTATTTGTTCAGGATTATATTTTTAGGCCTCTGAATTATAGCTACTAGAGAACAGTGACTTTTTCTTTCCCAGAAATTACCTGAAAAAAAAATCTTGAAAAATAATTAAGTACAGTTGTCCCTTAGTATCTAAGGGGATTGGTTCCAGGGTCCACCACTAAAAAAATCCAGGAGTGGTCAAGTTCCTAAAATAGCATAGTATTTGGATGTATCTTAGACGTAACTTTTTGTATACTTTGAAGTCTCTGTAGATTACTTGTACTACCTAATCAGTACAGTTCAAATGCTATGTAAATCGCTTAGAGAATAAGGGTTAGGGAGAAGAGCCTATACAGGTTCAGTACAAAGGCAATTGTTTTTTAAATTTTAACAATTTTCTATTTATTATTTTATTTTATATGTATGAGTGTATTGCCTGTGTGTGTATAAGTGCACCCATATTGTGCAGTGCCCGCAGAGGTCAGAAGATGTTGGATTTCCCTGGAACTGGAGTTATGGATGGTTGTTGGCTGCCATGTGGGTGCTGGGAATTGAACCCAGGTCCTCTGCAAGAGCAGCCAGCACTCCTAACCGCTGAGCCACCTCTCCAGCCTCCTCAAATATTTCTAATCCAAGAATCCACAGATGAGGCGGGCCATGCACAGGGACACTAAGAACAAAGGGCAGTGTCTGTGAGGCAGTTGTTTCAGGTAAGTACTGCTGTGTGGACAGGGAGTCTCGGGTCCCTGTGCAACATAGGGAAAGAGGGAAGGGTTCTGGAACAGGCCTCCCCACCCCAGCCACCTGCTCCTGTGAGAAGAATCTTGGCCTGCATTGTATAGACTGTATCAAGGACAATATGCCACACCTCCAAGAAGTGTGGTCATCTTACAGGCATTGTAGAAATGAACATTTATTACTACAATTTTCTGGCAGGAGGAAATATGCTATGCTAAGGAAGGGATTCCTTTTTCTGATGCACATGAAAGTGCTTTAGGAGTAGCCAGAAGCCTCTATGACCCTTAGGATCTACCTCAGGCAGCTCACTTGTCAGGCACAACCTTTTCGTAAACTCCTATGTTCTAACCAGTATCTTCAGCCTCATCAAGAGCCGTATCAGGGGGCCTTACTGTTACTTTTCTTCTGACCCAGCTTAGAGCCCATAGTGTAGCGTTATAATCACTCCTCTGCAAGTGTTTTGAGTTCCTCCGTCCTTTTCTCCCTTGTTTGTATTGGCTTGAAAAGCCCCATCGCCAGTTCCACCTGACCACCTACTCTGTGTATGCACCTGAGCTGCCATCAGTACCTTCATTCCCTGACAGACCTTAGCTTTTTCTCACCTCACTTTGTCTCCATTTTACTTCACTGTCTTCAAGCAGCGTCCCACTTCTAAAACGCATTAGTCCCATTGTGCTTGAAGTTCATGGCCTCAAATAAAAAGTCAGGCAAGATGTCTGTGCAACTCTTCTCCTGGGTAAGTCCTCTTTTCTGCTCTTCAGGACTGTCTCACACGCCCTCTATTTCCAAGCCCCTTGTACTGCCCCTGCACCTGCCCTTTACACGTGCTTGTTTCTCCGACATCCCATCTTCCTTTCTTCTCTAGAGCCTTTGCCTGGAACACCTCGCCACCTTTTACATCCCAAGAAAGACCTTTCCTCCGCCTCCTCCAGTGTCTTTTCCGTTGCCACAAGTCACAATCAGGCCATGTCGTTTATACTTTTAGTTTGTGTCATTTCCTGCATCTTTGTTAGCTTACTTTTCATTCAGCTCTCCAAATAGAATATAAGCTCCCCAAAGAAGGGACCTTCTGCCTAGTTTGTCTTTATATCGATCTTTCATCCATTGACTCACCTAAACTGTGTGATGTGACCTTTGCAGACCTCGTGGGAAGTGCTCATGTGCACTCAGATGCCAGGCAACTTAGTCTAGCTTCTTGTTTGTAACAAGAAGGGCCAAATTACAGAAGTAAACATTTCCATGAGCTGTTAGATGCACCTTTTAAAATGAGATTCCTGTCATCTGTTAAACAAACAAGGGAACTGGAGGGAAAAGACTGGGCATGTGAGCTGAATAAAATTTCCTGAACCTTTTAGTAATAATGACGCTTTATCAAAATTCAACTTTTAATCATATTTCTGTGGGTAAATTTCATTTCTCTGTATTTTCTCTAAACAGTGCTTCCTTTTGGTTGAAGTCACTGTGGACTTGCCCCGATGTGTGGGGGCTTAGTTTGGCGTTCCAGTACTGGCCAGCTACACACGGGACTTCAAGCCTTTCTTTCATATCTATAGAAACTAGGACAGGGAGTTGATGGTGTAGGACTGTGAGATAAGACCAGTGTTTCCCACATAATTAGGAGATGGCTGCGTCTGTCCATTCTCAAAAGAAGGAAAATTTGTGGCATGATGGTGTTTTTCCATCCTTTCTGACAAACTCAGGTGTTTAAGAGTTTGTGACAAATACTTATTTTATCCATCATATTTAAGAATGACTTATGAATAAATGATGGTGACACTGAATTTCCTCCACCTTTCATTATTTTCTTTCACCCTGGCTAGTTTTCAAAGCGTCACAATAAAGCCCACCTTTTCCCTCTGTAGATTAGTCATCTATATGCATACCTATGTATTAGCATTCGTGCATCCTCTGGTCTCTCCACTCATGATCTGTTTCACAGTTTACAGTTGGCCCTTCATATTAAATGGGCATCATCTATAGCTAAGCTTAGTGTTATTAATTAATTGTGGTACAGTTGGCACATATGACGTTGTATTAGGTCTGAGCTGTTTTCACTGCATTTCATGTACTTGCTGTCACATTATGCAGTAGGATGTTCTGTTAAACAGTGTTAGAAACTTCACCAAACTGCAACCTGGAAATAAGAATAGGAACCATTTAACCATTCATTTCTGAAGCACTTTATGTTTAGTGAATTACTTGGTCCTCTCTGTAACTCTTGTCACGCTCCTTTTACTCGTGAGGCACAGGGAACTTAAGGAATTTGTCCAAGATGTCAGAGGAAGGAATAAAGCCAGGATTCAAGGTCGTGTACAACCTGACTCCAGGTTGTGCCTTGACTTGATGGCAGGTTCTCTTGGGAAATAGAGATCCCAGTCCTACCCACCTACATGACCAGCTTTTTGCCTTCCTGCAAGATGTCTGGGCTCTGTGGGCCTCTGTTGTCAACTGTATCCTCAGCAAGATAATGTTTCTACCGTCGTTCTCAGGAGAAAGAAATGAAGTCACAATAGGAAAGAGTTCTTCAAAGCTGATGCTTATAATCACTAGTGGGCATTTATTATTTCCACTTATGATTGTTTATACTCATATATGCTCCATATATTATATATTCACCTACATGATTCTTTTTGTAAAGTATGCTAATACTAAGTTAAACCTAATCAATATTTAATAAAACAGTTCAAGAGAAAAGGGTTACAAAAATTAGGTTTGACTTCATCTGTCTTATAAGACCTTTTCACTGTGATCTCAATAAAGCGACAAACCTCTCGTGAAAATACAGGACTTCCATGCAGTGGGGACGAACATTGAAGGATTGGAAGCCACCCGGAAAAGAAATACATTTTAAAACTCGGGCTTAGCATGAAGAATTATCTATCATGTATCCTCAGTCCAAATTCAATTTATAAATGTAAAGACAGAGCAGAAAGAAAAAGCAAGGAAATAGCTTGACCAGAAAAAAAAAAAATTAAGAAAACTGAAGTGATGGATGTCGCCCTTCACAGTTATCTTGGTCTATCAACATTTTTCACCCAAGATGTGTCATTTTTTACTGATTTCCAAGTTGAAGCTGCATAATAATTGATATGAAACCCAGCTTATTAGAAGTATAGTCAAGTTTAATTTTCCCCTTAATCCTTCCTGCTACTTAATTTAAAATAGCGAAAATCAAAATATTGAAGATGAGACAAAATGCAAACCTTCCTGTGGGAGGAATTTTTTTTTCCTTCTCCACAGAGGAAAGCAAAAGAGTTAATGAGGGTTTGTCACTTTATTTTTAATGCCTCAGTTTCTCTCAACACCAAGGACAAACAAATTTAATCTAAGTTCTGAACAAAGGTCCACCTGGTCGCCTCACCCAGATACCTCTTCCCACCTCGTCTTGATTTGTCTTCTTTCCCACAGTCCTCTCTGGGAACAGTATCAGGATGCACTAATCTCTAGCGAAGTCTTAGTTCCTCAAAGATTACTAAAATTTTCAATAAGGCAAAAGAAGTCTGGAGAATTTTTAAGTGACAAGAATTCTTAAGAAAGATGGAATGGCTGTCAGAAGTACAGTTGATGAACTGCAAGGTGGCGCTTTCTGGAGCGTACAGCCAAACCACATTTTCAAGGCATGTCAACAGCACTTCACTCATATTTGTTTATGAAATATTTTAGCACTTTTCTAGTTACACAATGCAAAAGCAGCTGCTCTGTGAACTTAGTTTTAGAGCAGGACAGGAAAGTTCTGTGGAGCCTAGAGATATAAAATGCTTGACTTCGCTTAGGAAACACAGCCAGAGATCCCAAAATGAGGCTGAAAGCTAAAAGATCTGTTTCCTTCTAGGGTTACTGTGTCCCTTTGTGGGCGCTTCCGGTTCCCAACTCTTCAGTTGTTTTCATCAAGATTAAGTATCCAGCATTAACCAATGGATGTGTTTAGGCTAGGAGAGCTCTTGACTCAGGAGCCCTTATTTCTTGCCATATTGAAAGAATTCTTCCCTACTATGAGACCCAGTGCTTTGTAATGAAGTTTTGAAAAGACTATTAGGTTAACTAAATCAAATTACTGCTCATAACATTGATTGATGATTAAATGTTTGTGTTGGCTTTAAAATGGCTTTGGCTTTCAAGTTCTACCTCATTCATGTTTATTTGTTTATTTTGTCAGAGGGGGGCCATGGTGGAGAGAGACAAAGGCATGTTCACTTTGGGAATTGGGATCATACCTTCTAGTCTTTTGCAGAGACAGGACTTGTATGTTTTTAATTATTGTATATTAAAGTAAGAGTAAATGTTGCCACAGATATCATTATCTCTGTGCATTTTCCATTTATTTTATTTTCTAAAGAAGTTGAACTGGGAGGCTGGAGAGATGATGGCTCAGTGGTTAAGAGCACTGACTGCTCTTGCAGAGAACCCAGGTTTTGTTCTCAACACCCATGGCACTAATAACCGTCTGTAACTCCAGTTCCAGGAGATAGGATGCCTTCTGACCTCCATGGGCATTGCACAACACCAGTGTACTTACATACATGCAGGCAATACACCCATACACACAAAATAAAATAAAAATAATATTTTTTAAGTTGAACTACTAAAATCAGGGACTGTCACCTGCCTGCTGTCAAATATCATAGATGATGAAATGACCTCTAAATGAGCTCGCTTGGTGGAGTTCTCACAACCAGTCATGGTGTCATGTTTGGACATGGGACCATCTCATCGCCCAAGATACCTCAAGTGCTGTTGTTCAGAATTCATGTTCTATACATCAGTTCATAACACTATGTAACAGAACTGATCTTATTTCTCTGTACTGCATTTTTGACTTTTAGGATGGAAATGAATGTGGATAAATTACTGTGGTTTGAGAACTCTTCCATGTCTATCTTAGTATTTTATTAATACAACTATTTCTTTAATATAAGATCTACTTTTAAGAAATCCTAACCACTGTGTATCAGTCTATAACACGTACCTGTCTTCATCCCCACCACACCCAAACTTGAAGGTTTTGTTCCTGGGCCTCGTACCCACTGATGGCCTTTCTGCCAAGACTCTATTTACAATCATTTACTCAGGGACTCCTTGAGATGGGAGAAGTGGATCCAGCAGCCATTCATTCAGAGGCTTGATTAAGATGCTGTGTTCTGCCCTTACTCCCAGGATGGAAAATCCCCAGTGGATGCCAGAAACCTTGGATAGATCTGAAACCACCAGAGATTTTTTTCTTCCCGTGTATACATATATATGATAAATTTTATAAATCAGACCCAATAAATATTAACATAACAATAATAGAATGCAATTACAATGATAAACTATAAAACTTTAAAATTCATGAATTGCTTACTTCTTGAACTTTCACTAACCCTGTTCAGAGTAAAGTTGACCACAGGCAGCTGAAACTGCAGAAAAGAAGAACAGCTGTGGAAGAGGCACCTGTCATCTGTTCTGTTTTTAACATCTGTAAAGCTGCGCTCTGTTATGAATTAATCCTTTTTGGTGACAGAGTGGCTGCCAACAGAGCCCCCTCTACCTTATCTGGGGAAGTTCTCTGACCTCATTATTGCTGATGGAGCCCTGGTAGCTCAGCCAGTTGTGAACTTTCACATCTAATTATCCAGACTAATGAGTGAACCAAAACTTAAAATGTCTCAACTATCTCCTTATGGTAGTGCCTGTACAGTGTCCTTCAAAAGTGAAACAAGGTTTTAAGTGGAGTCACCGCTGTGATGCCCAAACAAAGGATATCACCAGTGTTCAGACTATCCTGATTTTAAAGCATCTGATTTGATCCCAGAATAAAAGGGAATTGCATTCTAACTTTACATTTTACTTAGTCCTTTTGTAGAAAAGTTGGAACAGGTGTATTCATTTTTAAGTGTTAATTTTAGAATTCTAAAAGCGTACAAATGGCATTTGTCTTCAGATTTACAAAAAACTCTAGATATTCAGAGTGTGAATTATTTAAACTCCCACAACACATGCACTTTTGCTTTTCAAGCATGAGTTATAATTTAATTAAAAACTTCTGGTGCATTGCTAGTGTTTTAAATATTAATACGTTCCATGGATCACTTTTGATTATCTACTGTCTTGAAATTCTTGAAGATGTCAGATTTTTAAGATTCCCAAAGTTGCACTTGGAATTGTCTGTTGAGGCAAAGAGGACTGTGATAATTACACACATCCATTAGGATCAGCAGAGGAGATAAACTTTAGGGAGGCTTAATGGGCATGTCTCGGTGACAGCTAGCAAAGAGCATTTGGCATGATTAAGGACGGATTTGAATGCAGTTGAAAATATACTCTCATTATGGGTGCCCAGTGGAAGTTGCACCACAAATGTTAAATTCCCCGAAAGAAGAGTGGTATGGCAAGTGCACTTTGAAATCCACTGTGGCCATCATCCAAATTATTCTCTCCCTTTTCTGTCAGAATCTTTGTGCTGTCAAAACCACTTTGTAATGCCCAATTCAACCCCCCACATCTCTGAAAAGAGGTAACCTGTTGATTCTGTGTTTCAGATTGTCCGAAGATACATCAAGGACTGGCTAGAAAGAAAGCAACCTCCTTTTGGGACTGTCAGCAGCAGCGTGCTCCTCATGATCATCTACACCACCTTCTGTGACACTTTCTCCAACCCTCACATTGACCTGGATAAATTCAGCCTTGTTCTCATACTCTTTATAAGTAAGTTGGAAGGCAGGATGCCCTGGCTGTCCCCTAGCCTCCTCACTAGCATTGTGAAGCAATTCTGTGTTCACTGAATTCACGTCTAATGTTAATCTGATTGAAAATGAATACTTAGCTAATATTATGTGTACTCAGTGACTTTATCTTATTTGTTCTTTAGAAAGACATCAGTTATAAGTTTGTAGTCTTAACCTTCTTTGCTTTTTGTGTTGAATGCACCAATTTATGACTTATAATAGTTAGTGTTAGATGAGAGAAGCTTTAATATGTATCAAAGTCAAATATTACATTGAGCCCTTTGTTACCAACTTATTTTAAGCTTAAATTGACCTTATTTCTCATAATGATTTAAAAAGGATTTATAGCCGGGCGTGGTGGTGCACGCCTTTAATCCCAGCACTCAGGAGGCAGAGGCAGACGAATCTCTGTGAGTTCAAGGCCAGCTGGGGCTACTGGGAGACCCTGTCTCAAAAAAAAAGGCAAAAAAAAAAAGGATTTATAATATATAGTTCTATTACTGTATGTATATAATAATTTAGATGCATTGAATAATATGTAAAGATTTTCATCATATTTTCTAATAAATTTTGCACCAAGAAATGAACTTGACTTTTAAGGAGTAGCAGGCTATAAATGTTACAATGAATAAGGCTTAAAAAACAACGTTTTGTCCATTCAGTCTATCACTCCAAACATAGCTATTATTAATATTATGGTATCAAACAATCTTTTGTTACTAAACATCAAGATGAGTTATTTTACAGTACACATTTTTATATACACTTGTGCTATTAAACTCCTAGTATAAACTAGTAAACTCCTGGTTTTCTGGTGTAAACCAGTTCTTTTAAATTGAACAAATGAAATTACTGATCCAATTCAGAGGATTCTAGATCTCCTCCCCAACCCCCACATGTCATGGATTGTATCTGGGGAGAGCAGGTTAGGTCCTATTAATTTACGATTCTAACAGTTTAGCAATATTTGTTTGTTTCATGGAAGTTTTAGATGAAGCCAGGCATACCATTAAGTATGCTATGGACCGCTTTTGTGGTGCTAATTTAGATTCAATTCATTGTTTTGTTTTTCCTTTAGTAGTTTCTATTCAGCTGAGTTTCATGCTTTTGACCTTCATCTTTTCAACAAGGTAAGTGATTTTGGTATTTCCTTTAGACTCCAAAAAAGAATTATGTGCTTTATTTGGTTCCTGTACTCCTATGCCATCTGATTTTTCCTCTCACCTGGCTGGCCAGTCTCTCTTGTGTGCTACCCTCAAACTAGACATCAGCATAGGGTCTGTCCCTATGGGCCCTTACGTCATTTCTTTCAAACACGCTTAGACAGCGTGGCTTAGCTGGAAGCTTTCTGCTAATGTGTTTGAACTTGAGATCTTGTTTCCAGAGTTTCTCCTAAGTTCCCACACTGTTGCTTCCTTCCATGTGGACATCTTCACTGGCTGTCTTAATAAGACTTTGGACTCATGATATTTAAAATGGAATTCATGCTCCCCCCCCCCCCGTCTTCCTCCTCTTCTCTAATTTTCAGGAGAATATCTTTTGTTTGTTCTTTAACAAATCCATACATGCACACACTCTATCTTGGTCATATCTACTCCCCAGACACCCCCAACACCCCTTACCACCCTCATGCATTTTCCTTTTCTTTTTTTTGTAACCTACTGAATCCTGTTAGTGCTGCCATTTGGAATATTAATTGATCTTGTTGGCTTGATGTTGTGCAGGTCTTGTGCAAGTAACCATAGCTGCTTAGTGCAATGGCTACGTCATGTCCAGAAGACAGCATTTCTAGCCCTCCTCCCCGTCCTTCAGCTCTTACGTTCTTTCCACCCCCCTTCTAAGATGTTCCCTGAGCCTCTATTTTTTAATTTTTTTTTTTGTCTTTTTGAGACAGGGTCTCCCTGTAGTCCCAGCTGTCCTGGAACTCACTATGTAGACCAGGCTGCCCTTGAACTCACAGAGTTCCACCTGCCTCTGCCTCCCGAGTGCTGGGATTAAAGGTGTGCGCCACCACGCCTGGCTATTTTTTTATTTTTAATGGAACCACCATCTCCATAGTTATCAAAATGGAGTCCCTCACATCATTATTCTGTAAAAAATTCACCTGCTTTTGTTATATTTATTCTGTTCCCAAAGCTACTTCCCTAATCAGGCTCACAATTGCTTTTTTCTCTAGGCTACTGTGAATGGCATCTTACTGATAATTCCATCTGGGATCAACTTTTCTTATGCATTTGTTGTGGCTTCCAATGATTCAAAGTTCTGGTAGTGACAAAGGCATCTTGTTCAGATGTCTCCAAAGCTTAGCCAGATCCCGCATAATGACATTCATTTTGTAAGTGCATCGCTCTTCGGTCTATTTTGCAATTGTGAAAGACCATTTAGGATTCTGCCTGAGCTTTAGGTTCACATAAAATCTTTACCATTTTCTGGAAGAACCTCATGTTTCTCATTTTGTTCCCTTGTTGAGGCTGTTCCCACATGTTCATGTCCTAGTTCATCTTTCCTGGTACACACACACACACACACACACACACACACACACACACACACAGTGTGTGTGTGTGTGTGTGTAAGCGTTTTTCCTGTAGTAGCACAGGTTGGCCTGGTGTTTATAGCTCAGGGTGGCCTCAAATTCAAGGCAATTTTCTTGCCTCAGCTCCCCCAGTTTTAGGATTGAAGACATATGCCACCATGCCTGGTTTATCGTTCCTGTTCTTAAAGGCTTACTTTAAATGCCACTTCTTACACTAATGTAATCCATTTGGTACATGATGCTTAAATTTTTGAAATTAAAAAATGCCACAGTGAGTGCTTCAAATAAGAGATAATTCTGATCCTCCATGAGTTTGCAGAAGTATGTGCTACAGTTGACCAACTTGTGGCCTACTCAGACAGAAAAATGGGCTTCCGAAAAGTGGTAGAGTCAGCTTCATGGGAGAGATTGTCCATCAAGAATGGCTAATTGTTCAGCCATCAGAGATCAGGAGACCAGACTCTTATGGAAGAAGAAGCAGTCATATGTATGTTGACATACCTACATAAACAGGATGATGGGATGATGAAAGAAAAATTGAAAGTAGCCTTGGAGTGCAGACAATGACAGTGACTTGCTGCAACAAGGGGAGGCCTAGGTGTCTGTGAGGCTTGAAGCTCTGTCTACGTCATGGGTGTGTTTGGGCCTTGCACTAGGCACTTGGCTCTTAGAGCACTTCGTATAGCACTAGGCTCATTGTTCCAAGTCAGTTAAAAATGTTTTGACTGATATAATTTGAAGCATTTTCCCAAGTTTGAGGTTGTGATTTCTGAAGTAAGAACAAAGCCTGGAGCCATTGAGTCGAGTCACAGGGAAAATGTGACTTACTTGGGTAACCTGAGAGTGGGAGTTCTTTTAAAGTTCTTTTAGTGAATGGCTTACTATTCCATCACTTTAGAAAAGACAGTTCCATTTACTGGCTGTGTATTTTCTGTTCCTTCTAATAGAGGTAGTTTTCGAAGCCAGTCACCCAGTCAGATGAATAATTTGTAGATATCCTGTCAGTGACTGAAAAACTCCTTGAAAGCTGCCTTAGTTTCATTTCCTGTTGCTGTGGTTAAATAGTCTAACAAAGTTGACTGAAAAATTCCTTGAAAATTGCCTTATCTTCATTTGCTGTTGCTGTAACAAAGGCAACTTACGGAGAAAGGACTCATTTGGTTTCCAGTTACAGGTCATGGGCCATCATTACTTGGAAGTCAAGTGGCAAGAACGTGAAGCAGCTACTAACATTATATATATAT